GATTCTTCAATCACCCACTTCATATTCCATCTTATACTATAGACATTATCGGACTGATTAGTAGAATGAGTCGAGTTTATAGAGTCGAAATTGCTTGTTGATTACTTCAACGCAGTTCAATCACCAAAATAATTTTGTTCACTACGCATCGCTTAAGAACACTAACTAGTCAATAACGAAAACGAAAACATTCGAATAACAGTTTGTGTTCACGAAAGGCAACATAATTAGATGATTCTCTTTAGAATTTGATGAATGCAAGCGTTTCTTTCTTCAATACATTCAGTTTGATTTATTTATTGCGTTCATTCGGATAAGTTCCGAAAAATATTTACATTCTTCTGATAATCCATTCTCAATTGGGCTGTGAGCAAAGCGGAATGTAATGAATTTTACAATCTGAACGATTTTCAGATGAAAATAAGAATACTCCCTCTCGGCTACGTCCAGTGACTTAGTCGAGATTTCTCCCAGGAGGGGATTGGGGTGCAAAATGATCTGCTTCCAAACGACAGTTGTATTCTGGGTGGATTTTGTTATCTCATTTGTTTCTTCTTTTTTTTCTTGTCCCTTATTTTATCAATTTCTATCTCCCTTCTCTCCTCATTGCCCTCCATCCTCTCCGCTGAGTTTCTTCAGCAGTCCATATATGGTTTCACGAAAACTTCGAACACTTCTTGTGCTAATTTCACTCATTATTGTGACATTTTAAGAGTTCATATTGCAACGAATTCATTAGCTTTTATGGAAAGTGAATGCATTTTCTTTGGCGATGCAAAGGGCATCCTACGTTCTGTTGACTACAACGATTCAATTATTTATCAGTTTGCACAAATGAAACCATTGAAATTTTCAGGCAAAAAATATTGTTCACATTTTGGTANATTATTTATCAGTTTGCACAAATGAAACCATTGAAATTTTCAGGCAAAAAATATTGTTCACATTTTGGTAAGTTCTTGTGCGTTCTGATTTCTGCAAAATTGAATTTAAAAAAAAAAGGTAAACGTGCAAGTTTGAGGTGTGCAAACAATTTGAATTCGCAGTTTTGTAGTACTTTTTAACTCTTACGTGAACGCAAAACCCTTCCTTCATCTGGTATAGTGCTTGTACTAGAAACTTTGCGATGTTGCCTATGAATAGTGGAGTTGTGTCCAAGTAAACGAATGTTTCAAGGAATGCAATCCAGAAACGCAATGCAATGCAATCAAATCCAGAAATATCACACTGAATTAGTAGGAAAATTGCCGTCTGAAACTGTCGAGAACCATTATTATCAATCACTTCTCGCTAAACGATCAAATGATTGACATAAAGATATACATCAAACAATTGGATAATTAGAAGTAGTTATGACGACTGTGAAAAGGGTTCTAAGAATAATTCTTCTATTAGTAATACGCTGAGCATTCTTGAGAAACGATTCAGTGGATGGCGTGATCGAAGATCAGAGCAATTAAATTAACCCTTCAGAGTGATCACCATCGTAAACTCTTGCTCAACAATAAATCGCATTGAGATGGACTCAATCAAGTCAGATTCGCCGTTTAGCAAATTTGATTTAGCAATGTGACAATTTATTTGTTGTTTTCGCGTTGATACGAGTACGCAATTGGATTGGTTCGACGAATAAGGTTAATTGAATCCGCAATATTTTGATTGAACATTCGAGTGAGCTGAATGGAAATTTCAGGATGAATAACGAAGAATTATGCAATCGTCCAAGTACATCGTTGTTGAACGTCGGTCAAGTGCTACGACAGCAATCCGATACCACTCATATGAGTCGACGTTTGGTGAGAAGTTCGGCAATATGCGAGGAGGATCGACCGGCCACATCCTGCAATATGCATGCTGATGAAAAGGTAACGTCGTCTGCTAAATTCTGTTCCTTACGAATAATAATNCGCTTAGGCAGTCTGATAGTACGCGTGAAGAACTCAAAAATCTGGTATAAACGAATGGAACGTTAGGTGACTGTTATGATATTCTGTAGAAAAGGATGGATGTGTGCAAAATTCTTTATGAGGCAGCTGTCGCGTGATGATTTCAATTACTGGGGAATCGTTGTTTCATCATACCAGACAGATCCAGTGCAAAGGCAAGAATTTCGTCTGGGTCCTTCCTGCACAATTGACTTTCTACCTTGATCACCTTAACCGATGAGAGAAGAGTCTTCAAGTGTCACTGATTCATCGAATTTTGCTCGCATTTAGCAGTGCTTTTATGTGATCGTAGAAACAGCTGCAATTTGAAAGAGGTCGAAAAAATGATGTTGTGTATGAATTGATGCCGATTGCTTTCCGTGAATGGACGTGACAGGTTGTCAAATTCAAATAAGCAAATGCAAAACATCACTAGAATGTCATCATGCCAATCATTGAGCATTATATTCATATCATATCAATATTATATTACCAGTGTGTTACAAGAAACCGAAATGNTTCGTGGAAGTGTAACACACTTTGTTCGTTTTGTTCCAACTAGTTCATTTTCAAAAACACCATTCAATACCAGAGGGATTACCGAAAATTCGTTGGATTCGGTTGTTTTTTTGAAACGATTCCGATCTCGAGACCACATAATTCACTCGTTACAATTGATCACAATTCGTTGAAGTCACCAACGAGGAAAATGCCTCTATCAATATCGTCACAAACTCATCATGTTTTCGTCGTTGTTTCTTAAAAAGCAATAACAATACCAAGTGGTATGAGCATCAATTACTTTGGCAGAACAATTGCTTCAGGCACTGACAATGAGAGTACGAGCGCTCTCTCACGTACTGTGCAAGAGCTTTTCCACTTTTAATGAAGATTATCGCATCGAATGTTAGTTTGGAAATTTCTAACAAGTTTCCCAGGCTCATGACACAGGAAATTTATCGGTAATTTTGATCGTTCAAATCGGTTCGTAAACAACAGATTCCGTAAACATTGGCTGACTGCTATTGAATGAAACCTTGAAAAGAAATACGAAATTTTCGGAAAAAAATTTTGTCCAAATGAACGAAAATTCTATGGAATTTGTGTTACTGCATTCGGGAATTCTCTTAGCTGTTGCTGATTAGGCAAAAATTGATGGGATGGAATTATTGGACGTGTAAACGACATAAAATAGCGAATTCATTGCACTTTTCAATAATATTATGTCTTCATTTCGTTCATATTCGTGTTCTAGAATACTACACATTACCAGTATATTAGCCAGTTCCAATTCTTTGGAAACACATTTTTTCATGACTGCTTTCATTTTTTTCTCCGTATGTTTGTTTTCACTCACTCAAATACTATGAGTCATTCCATTTTTCGTTCGGAATCTGTTATTTACGAATCGACTTATTTTGTTGCTCTGTCTGAGCCTGCTTCAGGCGATACTTTTTCACTCAACAATCTCCTTACATATCTCTGAAAGAGTAACTATTTGCTACATCCGCTTCTTCGGACCAGCCAGCGAATGTGTCAATTTCATGGTTTTTCAAGCATATTTATGTTTCAATTTTGTAGGTTTGATCGTTTTGCTTTCAATTTGACGTTTTTTTTAAATATAACATGATGCGCTATTCTGGAACCACAATTCGAAAATTAAGCTTATCAGTCACGCCAAATGTTACAATAAAATATATTCACATACCACATTCTTTGTCTGATCTGATGATACGAATTCAGCAAATAGTTATTGTTTCCAAGAAGTGTAACGAGATTGTTTAGTGAAAAAGTATCATCGCTTGAACCAACTGGGCTCAAAGAGTGTTGTTGAATGGTATGGCATCGAATCTAGACATCAGAAATCTGGAGAGCAGACATCGGAAACCAATTGGATTTTGCTATCACTTACCCTATTTATCGATTCTAAATATCAGCTGAACAGAAAACGAAACATTAATGTATTCATGAGTGAAGAGTGTGAAACGGTGTAGGATGCTAGCTGCGCATGTTTCATCGTTTAATCGCGATTATCTTCGGTATCGTTATCATTATCATAGATCCATGATATTGTGTGTGATCCGGAAACGTTTTGTTGATCGCTTGCAGTGCATGTTCACTAGATCTGTTATGCATACCAATTGGCTCACCATATATGATCCTAGACGCCCTGATACACCCAATTCCATTTCCATTTTAGAACTAGTATCGCCCTGACGCTCCTGCTTAACTTCCTCCATCAGAATGGATGCCTTACAATATGCCACTTATTCAATATAATAGCGTAGTTCTCAATTACTATCTCCTATTTTGGCTCCGTACTCCTCCTATTCCTCGAATATCAATTCAGTTCACTTCAACTTGGCTTATGGCTTACGATCTTCAAGCATTGTCTCATCGTTTCAAGGCTTCAACTAATAGTAGTTTCCAACCGTATTTAGTACTGTAACTAGAAGTATACCGCACAAAATTGACTTTTGCTCTTTGCTTATCAAATACTGTTTGTCAATCAAACGGAATTTATTTTCTCGAAATTCATCATCGCATTCAGTTCAGGCATTGTTGAATGATCAATTATTTTGTTCCTATGAAAACTGTGTGCATAGATCTTACCACTGTGTAAAGCTTAGGTTGACTGATTAGTGAAAATTCGACGTTGGTTTCGGGAACATTGAATTGACATCGCAAACACAGTGCAGTCGAAAATTCGGACATTTTCATTAATGTGAATTCATCCTATTCACCCTATTGATCACGAAACCAAATTGAATGTCTTCATCTCGGACACATTATAAGATCTTGACGTCAGCATTATCATGCGCTATCCATCTATCCTCCAGTTCTTCTCAAAATCGTTGCATCGTGATAAGGAAGTATCTCAGCAGATTGTAAAACGTTGTTTCGAGTCACCCAACTGAGGAGTCCTATGGATTAACGCCTGATGAAGTTATAACATAAAATAAATCTCAGTTGTTTGATCAATCATTGATCTCAACGAAACAGATTTTTCTGTGTATAATTTCGTTTTATTCCTATCTTATCACGTGTGCAACTTCATTACCAAGCAGCTGGAAGGGCAACCTGACGCTACTTTAACATGAGACACAATACCTGTGGCCTAAAAGGCGTTTAGTTCCAGTTGATCCAGTTCAATGTTTCAGATCATAATGTCACCAATTTTAAGTCGACCGACACGACACGTAAGAGTAGTTGATCAACAAATCAGTGATAACTATATCCAGCTCAATCAGTATCGATTGATGGAGGAAATTGGACAAGTGAGATTATACAATTGCAAATATTCTTTATTACTCATTAGATCCCGAAAAACACTTGGTAAATCTGATTAGTTTTGCCATAGCACTCAATTCAAAGAATAGTTTCACGGAACATTTTCAATTGAATGGCGCAAAAGGCCTTCAGTTGGCCCAAAATCCCAATCAATTAGGTGCACACCTTTCTAAAACTCAACACAACTGGGTGCCCATCCCCTCAATCAACATTATTTGAAACGTGAACTCTACTTATAGGGCTCATATGGTATCGTAAAACTGGCTTACAACGAAATGGACAAAAATTTATACGTGAGTTCGTTCTCACAAATACATTCATCTCTCATTGCATTCATCTCAAAGAATTTTTTAGCTGCTTGCGGAGCTAATCAATACCAAACGTGCATTTTTTGAATAATCAACTTTCCTGAACCCATTTTCCAATAAATAATTTTCCGCTGAATTATGGAACATAGGAGAGCGATTAGGAGAGCAATTGTTGAGCAACTTTCCTGCTAATTTATCCGCATGATTGATGAACATTCATCAATGAGTAGGTGCAAAATAAATTCTAAAAATCAGTTCATAGATATAATTCAAAATAAATTCTCATTGATTAATGAGTAATTGCTGTGACGTACACAGGTTTGTGGATGAATCTTTCAAACATTTTTCAGGCACTCAAAGTACTGGACAAGATGAAGCTGCTGAAAAACTTTGCTTGCTTCAGTAAGTGTGTTTTTTTTAAATCATAAAAATCCGGTAGAGTTGATGAACATGAAAAGAAATGGAAATCAGCAGAGTATTCGTCTCCAATGGAAATATCCAAAAGT